TTTATAGTCTGATTCTAGCCTAGATCTAGACAGCACTTACTGAAGTGTCATTGGAGCAAGAAATAAGTATTGCATGGTAAATTCACAGACTGGTGGAGCATGAGAAGCTTGGGAAAATGGCAGACATTCTCAGATTTCGTGGAGCAGCTCTTTCCTGTATTTTCTTTTTTTATTCAATATCTTTAAAAATGTGGAAGCTACAATGTATCTATATAATGAAGCGAAATTGATCCTAGGTCATAAAACCTCATGAGGATGTAGTGTGTGTCAAAGAAAATTAGTTCTATTGAAGACGAGGTTCTCTTTGGAAAGAATCTGGCTTCATGTCACATCAGCCTGGAAGGTGTGCAGAGGCCAGCTCATGCCTGTTCTCTGAATCCCCCTGTCCAGTTTGTTTTAGAACTAGACTTTCTAAAGAACAATACCTTCTTCTTTATTTAAAAACTACTTTTTTTTCTATACAGTTAAATTTATTAGAGTCTCGTTTTATGTGTTCAGTAGAGATGGCATAAAGATAAGTGAGGGTGATATTTAAGTTGTGCTTGGATGCAAAGTCAAATCAGGAATATGGTTGAAATGTAGATTTCATGACATCCAAATCTTAATATAGTCTTGTTTTTTATTTTGTGTTCTTATAGTGGAAGTCCATTATGAGAACAGGTGTAATTGCAGATTTCTGCTCATATCCAGATGGGTTCTAGGAAACTGAGCTGTTTTGGGTTGAGGTCTGACCCAGAATAAAAGCAGGTGAACCTCATTCAGATTTGAGAACTTCATTGGAACTAGAAATGCATACAGTGTGAAGAGGAGGTTAAAGCCAGTTTACCTGAAATTAGTTCTTTTTCTGTTTTAAAGAAATAAAAATTGGAAATCATTAGAAAAGAACGAAGCATTTGTAAACTTATTATTCTTACAGATTATTATGTATGGAATACACAACATATTATCACATTGTGCAAGTTTTACTTATCTTCCAAAGTACATCAGTGTTAATTTGGTTATATCCTTTGAGAAACACTGGTTGATGTGTTGACATACTGCTTACATGTGGTACACAAGTTACATGTCCCGTTTAAATGTTGTATACCAATATTTTTAGTCACTTGAAATGAGAAACACTGGTTGATGTGTTGACATACTGCTTACATGTGGTACACAAGCAGTTACATGTCCCATTTAAATGTTGCATACCAATATTTTTAGTCACTTGAATGCCCCTGCATAAAATACCTGCATACATATTCTGGCACATTACAAAAGGAAATGTGCTGTGTTTTCAAACTGCTTCACTGTCAGTTGTATTTCCAAGGTGAAAATGTTTGTTACTGTTCAGGCTTTGTAGGTGTTGGATATACTTTTTCCACTGGAGTTCAATGATTTTGTCTTGTGTAAGTGTTTTATTTAATTTGTCACAGTTATTTTCAATATTTGCAGCAGGGATTTCCTTTGGTATAAAAGAGACTTTATTAGACTTTCCTGTCTAGGTGCAGGAAAACTTGTCTTCTGTCAAAAGACAGATATGCTTTTCTTGTTTGTTCTAGCTTAATTATTTATATTATGTATTTATTTATGTCCACTGTTCTCCCACATGATTTAATGCTGGCAATAGATTTTTCTTCCTTGTTTTTTCTATCTTCCTGCCACAGGTCTGTTGATTCAGCTGTGTGAGTCTGAAGGATTATTCGTTTTAGGGAGTTGTCAATAAATGGAGTTTAGACAGTGTTGAATAACACTGTTTCCTTTTCCACTGAAAAACAAACACAATGTCTTCTAATGCCCTTGTGTGTTGTGCTGTGCCTCACGCATCTTTTGTGGCAGTGATTGGAATGTGAATGTCAGTGGTTCTAAGCAGTTAGAGGAGGTATAAAGTATGTAGTAATTCTGGCACTGGTGTCTCATACCAAATGCTCCACAAAGGAAAATGAAATGCCAATTTCATAAGAGCACATTTTTTACGTATTAGATTTAGTTCTTAAAGTTTGCTGTTGCTATTCTAGGTTGCTTTGATAGTAGCTGAAGAGTGGATATCAGTGCAAAATACCTGTCAATTTCCATTCCTTCCCCTTATTTAGTCTTCTGTCTCAATATTCTTAAGGGATTGGAATTTGTGCTTAATATATTTTAGTTTGCCTGTATCTTACTGCTGCTATTATAATGAAGGATTAAATGACTCCTAGAGTATGCATATTTCCATGCTTTGACACGTATTTCCTAAGCACTGTTGTGATGATGTAGGTAGTTGAGCTTTGGTATTTGTGGTCCTCTCGAGTATCCACAGCAGAATCAGTGGTGTGATCTGCAGAGGCTCTTACCAATTATGTGTGTCAACTTTACAAGTGTAAAGAGCAGAAGTAAAACATAATTTAGTTGTTCAGATATGTTCTCACATCAGAGTACAAATATGGTAATTTCATATGAAGGAGAAGAATTGCTCTGGGAAAAATGGAGGATGAATGAGAGATGTTGCCATGTAGGTGCCTAATTAATCAACCCAGGTAGTCTATTCAAATTTTAGTCGTTTAAAATTCTACCAAGATCCAGTAGAACATGCTGTTTCCCTACACTCAAAACAATTTTCTTGGTAGTGGGGAAAAAAACCCACCAACCAGATTTTTCTGATATTCCTGTTGTGAGGATTTTAAGGTCATGTGTAGCTTGACTCTGTGTGGCTAGAGAAGTCTGATAATATATAAGTCTAGAGCACTTATACATTATCAGTATCCATCATTCTCAAAAAGGGCCAGGGGCAAAATTTTCATGTTGCATTCCTGTTTACCTGCTAGGGAAGTTCATTTAAACCCCACAAATTGATCAAGGTTTTTTCTTTAAAGAATGGTTCAGGAGTTTTTTTTCTGTCTTCCAGTCTTAGCAGTTGAGTCTAAAGCCCATCAACAGTGGAGCTAGTCCAGGCACTGGACTGTGATTCTTGTACTCTGCAGTCACACAAAGATTCATAGATAACTTTGTGTCATATGAACCTGCTTTGTTGCTGACAGGGATTTGAACAACTTCCAATTGCTCTGAACAAACAATCAAGAAGTTTGCTCTAATTATACAATTTTATAACACAAAAAATCTAAGTAAATTAGCTTTTAAAGCTAATTATGAAGCAGTTTCTTGTGTTCCTATTAATGTTGTTACTTTGTTTATTCTCTAAGCTCTTTAATGCAAGGAAGCGTAACTGAAGGATGTCAAAGTACATCTCCATTAGTAACACTCTGGTGGTTTGCCTGTGCATTTTGTCCAAGCAGCACAGCTCAATCAATATCTTCTTTGCCTGGGAGAGTCAAGGGAGTGTCTATGGCAAGCCAGGCTCCATGTGCACTTCAAAATATTCCAAAATTATTCCTGTGTTTAATTGAATTCTGTGCTTCTGAGGCTGGAGGGAACAAGATCAGTTACCATTGTCCGGTTTTGGACATTCTCTGTGTATTCAGGGTTCGGACTGTGGTCGTGAGTTCATAAAGAGAAAGTCAGCTGGTTCACACGGGCAGGTCTGGGGAAACACCTCCTGTTTTCCTGCCTGTCTGCCAAGATTCCTGCGATGCTCTTCACAGGCACTTGGCACAGCTACAGCGTAAGGGCTAAGTTCTGCTTTACTCTTAAAACACAGGTTCATCTTCTTTATGAATGATAAATATTTTCTCCACTCTTGTAACTTTATTTTTTCTACATAGAATGACTTTCAGGACATTTACTACTGTGATAGTTGATTGATCTGCGAGTTAATATTAATTAGGCAATAGCATACAATTGTTTGTTCCAAGTTATGATTATTAAAATAATTTCTAAATGAAATTTGGAGATTGAGCATTAGCACACTAAATAGCTGTGATGGTTGTTTTATTGTTTAAAAAGAAAATCTCAGAAAACATACTGTGTGTCTTCTCAACTTGATCTGATGGAGAACACAAGCCAAAATTATGCTGTTGGTGAATGGCCATTATGTTAGAAATACAATTATACCATGTAAATGAGAGACAGACCAAGGACATTGCTTAAGACTCATACATTCTGATAGTTGATAATTGAAATCAGTTAAATTCATGCAAAGCTTTCTATGAGTGTGGGTAACCCATCTTGTGAAGTAATTGGTATTTGGTTTAGGTAGTTTTCTGGTTGCTTGTTCAGAATTTCTTCAGAGGTGTACAATAGTCCTTTTGAGATTTTTCAAAATTTATAGTGAGAACTGTTGGATCTTCTCAGAAAATGCAGAATCAGACTGAATCAAGGTTAGTGGTTGTTTATGGAAGGTGAAGCCTCCAGGATAATGCAGAAGGTGAATAGGTCACAATGTTTGAGAGCAGCTCTATTTGATTTGCAATTGGAATGTGGAAATGTGAGCTATACCACCAGGAATGAAACCCAGAATACCTTTGTTTCATAATATTTGAATGAGCTTTTTTTTCATTATTAATAAAAGATACACCAACAGAGAGTGATATCTTGTACATCCAGTGTTAGAATTAGAAACAGTCTTAATAAAATGGAATTGATTTTTGGCTTTGGAAGAAAAGCCTGACTCTTTTTTTGGGCTTGTCCTGGCTGTATGAAATCTTTTGCAGTGCTGAAAATTTGTTGGTAAAAGGATGATTATTACTGTTGTTCTTGTTATTATTATTATTACTATTATTAGTAGTAGTAGTTTTTAAAACCTCCATGAACACATATTTGCACTAACAGATCATTTCTGAAACAGAAGGTCCCTAATTTTGCTTTTCTTGGCAAATTAATTCAGAAACATTTTTAACAGATTCCACATCTCTTTAAAGATTTTTTTTTTCTTCTTAAATTGCACTGGAGCCAGCATAAAATGCTGGACTAGATGCAAACCTGCTATGAAATTGATATTCTTGTTTACTCCTTTTTCTTTTTTTTTAAACAGTTACTCAGTTCTTATGGGTCTGCACATTGTAGTCTAACTGAATCAATTATATTTAAGTGCACAGAAGTTGTTCATGTTTAACTTGTGCTGTTTACCTTTTTTTGTTTCCCTTTAGATATATCCGAATTGTTGGGACCCACAATACAGTGAACAAAGTTTTCCATATTGTGGCATTTGAATGCATGTTCACGAACAAATCCTTTACTCTTGAGAAAGGTCTGATAGGTAAGAGATAAAACCATTTTCCTTTTTTATGAACTGTTGTAAACACTTGTCTTTTAAAGCTTGCCACTACTTCACTCTACTTCTGTTTCCATCCAGATACCTCTAAATTGAGTTAAACAGTGTTGTAAGCATAGAATTAATTGGCTAGTCCTTACAACTTCCATGAAATTCCAGTACTGTGGATTAATTAATGATGCTGGAGGAATGCTGAAATTCAAATCAACTGCTGCTGACAAAGCCACTTGTAGCTGAGTCAGTCAGTGCTGGCAATGTGATTTTTCTTTGCATGTCACAGTGTGGTTGCTCGTGCCTCCCAGTAGGTTAGCCTGAATTCTTTTACAAGAATGGACTAAGCGCAGCAATTTATTGTAGTGATGATGGATTTGGACATTTAGGGCCTCTTATACAGCTTGGTTACAACTGCTGAAAGTAAACTCTCATGTGTTCATTTTCCCCTAAAGAGCCATAGACATGCTTAGCCATGGCAGAACATTATATCAGTTATACTGCTATTATTCTCAGAACACCGGGCTGATGGAGCTCTCTTAGTTCTGGGCAACTTATATAACACAGATTTAAGTACCTTTATGTTACTTAAGTTAGAAATCCCCTACAGAGCAGCGGTACTGAATGGTAACATGTGTCACAGAAAGACTTAATATAGATTTTTTTTTTTATAGTTAAAATGAAGTGGTTTCTGTGCTGTCTTCCATATAAACTCAGATCCTGAAGTTCATTGGAGAGAGAGTATTTAGTAGTTGTCAGGGTGGGATTTTCCACAGTTTATTACTTATGCCATAAAATCAATAATTTCAGCAAAAAGAGTTCATGCTGGTTTTAAGCGTATATTTAAATTTTAAATAGGTACCTATGACAGATGGAAGGGAAAACAATTTTCAAAATAGGATGAGAAGGAAGATTTTTAGTATGACATATTCACTTTAAATTTTTCTCTGAGAAAACTGTAACATTTAGCTGTGAAAAACCAAGACCCAATTCCTCCAGCCTGTTCCCCATGTATTATACAAAGGCAAATCAAAAACCTTCCCTTGGTTTTAGGTAGTGTGCAAGTAGCATTGCAATTGCTTTTGACTTCAAAATAGAATAAGCAGTAAGGAAGAACTGTTAAAAGAAAACATCTCCATTCAGTAAGCTAGTTAGCAGAGAAACAAAGTATCTCAATTTGATAAAACCTTTGAGCTAAATTTCATAGTTAGCACTGCCAGCTATGAATTTTTTAAAAATTCCTACAAAATCAGTTAGTATGTACAAATATTTGTATGTATTTTATTTCAGATGATCAAATTTATTTAATAAATGCTGAATTTTTGACTTAAATAAATTTGAGTGTTAAAACAAAGATTGTTTGATCATAAGGCAGTAAATCCATGCATGTTTGTGTAAGTGAACTTACACTGAAAGTGATTCATCTTTCGTAGACTCAATTATTTTTACTTGTTGAGTGATCATTCTGGTGAGGTAAAGTATTTGATCTATTTTAACACTTCTTACGTTTCAAAGGTAATTTAAGGGATGGAGACTTTATATGGCTTTATTAAAAATTTTCAGTTTGTGAGAATGGTTTTGTAGGGTTTGGGCAGCGTAATAGGGTTTCTGGTGTTAATGGTGATTGTTAATGAAGGGCAGCTTTGCTGTGGGTCAGTCAAGCTGTTGTATGTGTAAGTCATTTGAAGTGATCAAGAGTAAGGAAAGAAAAGGACCTGTAGGTTTACATAGCTTTTTATATTTAAGGGATATTAGTCAATACAGTTGGTAGAAAGTTAAAAGTAAGAATTTGGGGAGCAGTTAATTGAAAGTGGGATGTGGATAGTCTTCCAACTGTCGGTGAGGCACCAGCAGTTGTATACATGACCCTGCAGAGTTTATGGTGAGAAAGATAGAAATGGAAGGATATGGGGACTAGTTAAGGTCAGTCCAGTTGTGAAATGGAGTAGGGACACCTATGACTGTTCCATCAGAATTTTTGGCCATCAGTATTGCCTATTCAAAAATATTCTCAGCAGCTTTGATCCAACAAAGAGATACTATATCTATCCAATGCCTTTTTTCAGTGTGATGATTACCATAAGGGGCCATATTGTATGGCTCCTGCAATCAAGCAGACTGTAAGTCCAAGGTCCACCTGTGTAAAAACTCAATATGAGTGCCAGTGAGTTGGCACAGATTTATTTTATTACTGTGATGAGGATTTGTAATGTTTATTTCTGCTTCTGAAATGACCAGATAGGATAAAGTGAATTGAAAGCAGTTAGGAAAAATCAACAAAATGTATGAAAGTGCAGTAATCAGAGTAGATTGCTTTTAAGCTTGACTGAGTAGAGAAACTTCCATCCTAAACCCTTGAAAAGCAGCTCATTGGGTTTATTGCTTATCCCATATGATATTAAATGCGGTATTAAGTTAGAACAAACACAGCTGCTGTTTTTATACCCAGCTTTATTAAAAAAAATGAAGTATTATTCGTCAGCCCTTGAAGGCCATAAGGTCCTTTGGTCAGCCCTTGAAGACCATAAGGTCTTTTCAAAAAGCCTTAGTGACCCCTACTTCTACCAAGACAACACTGAAGAGAAGATGTGAAGATTTGTCATTTGAAAACTCATTCCAAAGAAATGAGGCCTCTGAGGTATTTGGTTAGAGATGTTATGTAGAGACTTGAGAAATTATTTACTTAATTTTTGTGAAAGATACTCAAGTTGATCAAAGAGCTGTATATGCAAAGAGCGTAATTTATCAGATATATTACTACTGGTACATAATATCTATGTGATGGCTGTCACCATACAGTGAAGATTAGAGGGCTGGTAAACAAATAATAAAAATGAAGTGCTGTTTCATTATAACAACAATTTTATGTTGTTGTGGTTTTGTGTACAAGGTTTAATGAAAAATACTAACTTGACATGCTGCAATTAAAAGTCAGTGTGGAAGGTGATTTATACAGTTACTTTGTACAATACTGGATGTGGTACTGACATGACCCAATGGTAGCTGAGTAGCAAAAGTAGCAGAAAATGCTCTTTATAGCACTGTCTGGTGTTTAAGTGTTGGTTTACAGTTTGTTGTCTTGTGAAATGAGGTGACAGAAAGGAATGTAATCATATGAAATTATTTCCCTAACGCAGATGTTAGGGTTGAGATGTATTTTTCTTTTTGGCATAGTATTATCTCTAAATGTGCAAGTTAACAGTTTTCCATATTAAATTCATGATATTAACATAACTCTTTCGTTTAACAAGGATGCAAATATTCTTTAATCTCACAATCATAGTGCTTGCTTATAATGAACTTCTGCTTATGAAATTTTGAATGGTCTTTAGCCATTAATATTTAATTTAGAATTCAAAACAAAAGAATATTTTTGCAAGAAAGAGACATACTGCTTTGGAAGCAGTACCTGGTGTCATGCAATGTGTTGTAAAATGTTCTAATCTGCCCAGTGGCAAGAAGTTACAACAGCAGTTAAAGGACTGCTTCTGTGCAAGGTCTCTCTAGGTTTCTGGAAGTTTTTTTTCCCACCTTAGTAGAAGAAAAAATTCCTCTTTTCTGCCTCAAATGGAAAAAAAAATTGAAAACCTCAGTGTCCTTTAATCAATACTCAGTGCTGAGGAGCAGTCAAGGATTATGTGGGCTTGGCGAACATTCTTTCTGGTTTTGCGCCTGGTGAAGGGCATCGGGAGTGCAATGGGGATGGTTTTTCCACGTATCAGAGTTGGTCAGTAGTCTGCCTCAGTCTATCAGACTGTCTTGCAATGTGTACAATACACATGAATAAGAGAACAGTGAATAATGACTGAAGAGCAGAAGACAGATGTAAAAACACTGGAATGTCCTTGGTCACCCTCTGAGGAATGCTGTTCACTTCTTAGGAATCATCATGAACCTTCATTTGTGTGCTGCTCTATGCCTTAGGAGAACTTGTTTTAAAAGGGATAAAATGATACAAATAAATATTCACATGTCTTTTACTCTGGCAGTTATTTAGAAAAAGAAAAAGAACAAATAAAACTGAATGTGTAACAGGGAGAAACCAGTCATATCAGTTGCCTAGTGTGTGGTTCAGCTTTGTAAAAGATTGCTTTGTCTCTCCCCAAGGAAGCAGTGAAAGATGCTGGGTTTTGTCTAGTTTAATGTTGACTCCACACAAAGCTATCATATTTTGCTTTTTCCCTTTTGAAAAGGGTCACATTTTTTCCGAAACAATGCAGGCTTACCCAGCAGTATAATTCAGCTTGGCTGCAGACATAGCTTTAGGAAATTATGAAAAATTGAAGACAATCTAAATACTGCAGAAATTTTTTCCCCTTTCTGCAAGAAAGGACAGCCACATGGCTGGTTTTAAGAGAGATCTATTCATATGGTTCCAGTTCTTTTTTTTTTTAATCCTTTCCTGTCTATCTCCAGTACCACAAATAGGGACGCACACTTCCTAAAACAACTGATATTTCTGACAGCCCTCTACAGACACAATGTTTAATGAAAGAGCCCTGTAGCAGCCAATTAGTTGGCAATGAAAAGTATGGCCAGTTCTAGTGACTTGAATGGTTTTGTTCTAATTTATTGGATTAGGAATCACAAACTGTAGCAGGTATCAAGTGAAAAATCAGCCTTCTCTAAAGTTTTTCTCTTACAATTTCTGACAGTTGGAAAAATACACATATTATTGAGGTTTTCTTTTCCAGCTAAGTATGGCTTGCAGAAGGCTTTTCACTGAAACAGATGAAAATACTGTTGATATTTGTTTGAAGTTGATGTTTTTTTAGCTCTTGATTTCTTTAAATAATTTAATTGAAGATTCAAATTAAATATAGTAATTTCATCAGCAAGTTTCAACTCAAGAAAATAAGAAAGAGTATATGGAATGAAAGAAGGACATTTGGATGTACTTTTTATTAATTGAAAAGTCTGTAGATTTCTTTTCTACCATGTAGCAAGTAAACAAGGACTAATTCATATATGGAATAAAGATTAGACTTTAAAAATCTTTTGGCATGTGGAAAATAATGACAGCAAAATGCCTAATACCCCTTTAATTCAATATGATCAAACTCTGAAATAATCCTTACGTACTTAATTCTCTTTTTATTTAGTCTCAGCTTTCTATTTTCCAGCCAGCCAGGAAGTAAACTTTTGTCAGTTTAGTAGATGTTCAAGTAGAGAAGGAATGCAATTTTATAGTTAAAAGTTGAGCAATTGGAAGCTGAACATTTAACAGATATAATCATGAGCATAAAATTACTCCTTCATACTAACTAAAACAAAAATATGTTTCTTCCAGTGTAATTTCTTGTTTATAGTTTCTTCACAATGATAGCTGTGTAAGCGTCTTAAGAGAATTCCCTAAAATGATCAGTTTTGCTGCAGTGATGACACATAAGCAGGGAGCTTTTGACTATTGCCTAGAGTGCAGTTTAAATATATTCAACAGTCCATAGTGCTTTAAATTGCTGCTTTCCTAGAAAATAAGACTATGTAGTAGATCTGCCATCTCCCTGTATGTTTGTTTTCATAATTTGTTTAAGGTTTATTAATGGCTGGTATATGTAAACTTAAAAATACCCACTTACTTCTGTTTCTTTCTGTGCTGCAAAAAGTTATTTGAGGATTTTCTTACATTTCCCCACTCATCCACATTGTAGTGAAGTCACAGTGGATGGACAGAAAGCAAAGCTGACCTGTCCAGAATGAGAGATGAAAGGAAGTAGTCTGTACTCAGATATGGAAGCCACTTGGCAGCAGCAGCATTAACTTTTTTTTTCAGAGTGCTTCAGGAAGAATAAAAATTCTTTTGAAAAATCAAGTATGCTAAAAAGTAAGAGAAACAAGCTTAAGGAATGATAAATATGACTGAGGCTACAGCACACTTCTGGTACATTTTTAGCTTGGAAGATCTCTAAGGAAAGTTGAATAACATATCTGTCTTATCTTTAAATGTAGTCAGTATAGATGACCCTTAGGCCATGTCTTGAAAATTGCAATCCTTTATAAAAATGCCATTGCTAGAATTATATATGCTGCCAGTTCTTCATTTCTCCATACTGCAGCATAAGGCAAAGAGACAAGAAAGTAAGTTTTAATAAATGTTTGATGCTGCTGTCCTGTAACCTCAATCATCTTCTCCTTTTGTTTGCTTACAGAGTGTGTTTGCTTTGCTAACACACGTCTTTTCTGTTCCTTAAAAACAAATCAGACTTTTCAGCCCAAAACTGTTGTATGAACAGTAGGGGGAAAAAAATTATATTTGTAATCTTCTCTTTTCTTTTCTCTGACAATATTGGTTACTGGTAGATTTTTTTAAAAAAGGAAACAAAAATAGAAACAAGGCTGTTGGTTTTGACAGTTTGTATTTGTAAATAAGTGACCTAAATGGAAGCAGATATTCTAATGGGAAAAAGAAAGACAATAAAAATACTCAAAAATACAGAACAGAGTCCCCACCAGATGGTACTTTTAATAAATTTATCAAGTGTATATAAAAGATTATAATGAACATTCAAAATAGGGAGTGGCAGACCCCCTAGGGAAAAGGGACAGGATGGCACATTCTGCACACTTGAATTAGAGTCACTTTCTAATTAGCTGTTGTAGGGAAGACCACAGAATTATATTAAAACACACCAAGACAGTTTCTGTAGAGTTTTTAAGGAGTTTGACTAATCAGGGTAACATCTTCTTAGGAGGGTCATGGATTAGTGCAGAAATCTAAATGTGAGAAGGAGCAGGATGATGCTCAGAGGATGCAGGCAAAATATTGCGTTAACTGAGCTGCACTACATTCAGTTAATCAGATAGATCACAGTGTGTCTGGAATATGCCATGGAGCTTCAATACGAGCATTGATTTTGACTCATTTTCTTTTTTACCAAGATTGCAATAGCTTCCTCATCCTATTGAAAAAAACCCAAAAAAACCCAAAACAGATCTATATAGAAGATGCTTTAAAGCCTATATAAAATGAATACACAAATAAGTTCCTTTATTCCCAGGGAGGAGAGGAAGAAAAGGAAGTCAAGACAAATTTTAATTCAATGCCAGTAGTTTGCAGTGTTAGGTTATGCTTTATTCGGATTGTTCCAAGTGAAGTACTTCTAATGTCTAACACACCTGCTCCCCCATAAGAATCTGGGACTTATTGAGTGCCTCTTTTCAGTTAGTGGGGGAATCAGGAGATTTCTGGAATAGTAAAGTAGGGTTTTTAGAAATTTTTATGAGCAGACAAAGATGATAGTACATTTGGTAATGCAGTTGCTTTTCCAGAGCTGGTTGCTTTTCCACTACCTTGGATTACTACTTGGCAATGATCTTGCAGTTTCTTCCCATATGTTTTTTAAGGTGTTTTGGTGGGTAGTGGCTTTCTTAATATTATGCTTCTGACACCAGTAGCACAGTGAAGTCACAAAATCCTAGCTGTTCATGGAAAATTCTCTTTTTTTGCATGCTGAAGACTCATACAGTTCTCTGAAATTTCTCATAGCTGTGTTCTTGTCATTTTTGGATGTTGTAGTAGAGGGAGGTTTCATCATGAAAACAGGAAGAAATTATTTCAAAATTTCTGAAGTTTTGCTGGACAAAAGATTTTTTCACAGTTGCGTTAAAAAAGTGCTTTTATATCGCCAATCTGAAATCCATCTGTTAATTTACCAAGCTATTCTGGAATCAGTGCTGTAAAAACTATCTGTATCACTTGTTTGTCACTTGTTCATAGTTCATTTTATGTGAGTTAAATTTCCTTTTGTTGATCATGTTTTCTTTTTTTTTTTTCTTTTTTTTTACTGGTTCTTCTCCAGAAATAAAGACCACTGGCATCTGAACTGTTTTCTGACTGTATGTCTATCATCTCTGTGTTTTTAATTTACAGTTCCCACTGAAAATGTTGCAACAATTGCAGACTGTGCCAGTGTGATTGAGGGTGTAAGTCGCAGTCGCAATGCCTTATTGAATGGAGACACAAAAAACTATGATTGGGATTCTGGGTACACATGCCACCAGCTTGGGAGCGGAGCTATTGTGGTGCAGCTGGCACAGCCCTACATGATTGGATCAATACGGTAGGAGGATTTATTTTTCTCTAAATTAGGGGCCACAGTGAAATTTTTGCTGAGCAGTTATTTTCTTTAGAATGTATGACATTTGAAATGACATTAATTAGGGAGCTAGTTTAGTAGTTGTCATTTGGCTTCTTACTTCAGGATAACAGGCATGTTAAAAGTTAAATGTGTGAATTATATGTTGAGATACAGAGTGCAATTGCAGAAAATAATACTTTTCAGAGGCATAATAGTAGTAACAGTCAAATTATAAGATTAAAGTGATATACCTATTTTAAAATAGAATTTAATTGCAGTCTCACTTATGGTTAAGTAGGTGCAGTTACTCTTATCCACTTAATTCTGAAAACAATTTTCTTAAAGAAAATCATCATGTCAAGTCAGCCAGGCTTCCTTTTACTATACAATTAGTGCTGGTTTTTACTTAAACATGGAGGGTGTAATAAAGGTAGAGCAACCTGAATATTGATTTACAAGGCTAGATTAATGAATGTGTTTAGCTTTGGATTGAAGTTCATTGGGCTGTTTCTACTGTAAATGTGTGTATACATATGAAGATGAAAATCTTGGCTGATGTAGAGACTTAGGAAATAGGAGAGCCAAATTTTTCACAGGTGAAAAGAAAAATATTCTTGCCAACTTGAGATTCTCTGACTATAAATGTTTGGGGTGTTTGTTTCATAAAACCAGGCATACAAACCTTGTTGTAATGGGATAATGGTCTTTGTAAATTTAGACTGTGTAGTCAGGGAATTAATTTGTATGCTCTGTGACAGAGAAATAAAGATTTCTGAAGTTCAGAGTACCAGTGATCAAAGGCTGAAATCCCAGGTGAGTACTGGCTTGCAACAGAGACCATGTGCATAGATACGTATTTCTAGGAGCTCAGTGCATTCCCCTTGTTAAGAGCTGCCAAGTGAGACTTGAAAGCTCTTGCAATTGCCAGTTTCTGTTTTGTGTGGTTTGGTTTAGGCCTATGGCATTGTTATGATGGTTGTAAAACTCTGAAGATAGAGCTTGACATCAGATATCCAGGCAAATCCCTGACCCAACAAAAGCAGTGTTTTGTGTGTATGCAAGCTGTAGATGTTATGCATAATGCAAGTCCGGCATTGTTCTCACTGTGTGAAACAAGTTGAGTAAGTGTGGTTGGCAACTTTCCCCACTCATTTGAGTTCGGTGTTATAATACTCTATTAAATATTGCATCTCAAACAGAAAACCAAGCAGTACTCAGATTTCTTATTTCTTTAAATAGGTAAATTAAAATGAAATGCCAGCATTTTCATGATACTTTAAATGTAAGTAGCAGTTTTTAACAGCGAGGCTTTGGCCCTATAAAAGATTAAGAGAAGAATATACTAACTAAAATGGGTAGTTTCTCAGTTTCTCTGTCTTCCTATCTTACTGTTTTCTAATATCCTTCAATTGTATATCCTTCCATTGATGCATTGTACCATCTTTTTCCAGTTAGTGAAAAAAAATGAATTTCCTATAATAGATGCTATGCTATTGTTTATTCTTGTGCAGATTTTTTAATAAGTCTCTTTATTAAATGGTGTGTTAGGTGAATTAAACTTTTGGTTGCCAAGAAGTAATAACTGTGTAATCAGTAAGTGTGTAAAGCAAATTTTAAAAAACAACCCAAACATTACATAATTCAAAACTAATAGGCATTTAGTGATTTATGTGGTATTGAATTGTACAGCTACAGGTTCAGAATCTCATCTTTCTTTGTCACTTTCCCTGCATGTATAGTGCAAACAAGATTAATAGCTTACTTTACAAAAATTACAATAATAAACATCATAGTCTGGGGTGTCTTCTGACTGGGGAGACTACCTGCATTGCCTAGAAACAGAAATACTAGCAACATCTCTTTTTTCCTTTCTTTTTTTGTATACTGCCTAGAAGAACAAGTGTTTTGAGTTTTAGCCATGTCTACTGCAGGTCACAGGCAGCCAAGGGAAGCTGCTCCTTGGAGTGGGGAAGTGAAGTTTCACTCTGTGGCATCTACACCTTTGGCAAGGGTCTGGAACATGTTCTATATTATGCAGTGCTAAAGATGGTGACAATGGTCTCTTTATTCAGCATCAGGAAATCTATGTTTTGTACAGAAATCAAATCATATATAAACATAGATGGCAGCAAAAAGTCTTAGTATTTAATCTTTATGGAAGTAAGAAAATTTTTTTGTTAACAGAATGTCTGCCAAAACTGATGGAACTGTATTCACTGCCTGTTTTCCTGCTGTTGGCTTGTTTGAAAACTCCCTTGATCTCATGCCCCCACCTAACAGAAAAAAATTCTAGGAGCATTTGCTTTAGGCTGGCAGTGCACCATGACTACAGAATGACATTAATTCTGCTACCCTCAGAAACTGAATCTTTATACCCATGGGCTTGGATTTTAAGTGAATAATTAGGAATTAAAGTATGTATCTTTTTAGTTCAGAAACACAAATGTGCCATTGAATATATTTATTTCAGAGGGGGTAAATATATAAACCTTTGAAAAAAGGCAGTAGCTGCTTTTAGTCTATAGAAATGGGAATATCACTGGAGAGAGCCTCCAAGACATAATGTTACCATGGCAACTAAATTCTGAGTATGGAAAAAAAACCAGAAGAACTATTGGTGTTCAGATATGCCTTAGAAATGCAGAGAGTTGAATGTTTCAGGAATATATATTGTATGTGTGCTTTCTGCCAAAGTCATTCCAATGTCTAAGAATCTTAGCACCCTTCAGGTTGAAAGGGATTTGAGGAAGAAGCACCTAGCATCAGGTTGTTTCTCAAAGGAGGGTCAGTTATGAAAAAAGATCATCCTAATCAAGGCTTTATGCACTCAGATCTTAAAAATTTCAAAGGCAGGAAATTCTGCGACTTCTCTGGGTAGTTCCTCCCCAACCCCAAGCCTGCTTAGGCTGAGCAAGCCAGCTTCCCCAGTCTCTTGCACAGGGTGTGTGCTTCAACCTCATGAACATTTTGATGGTCCTCTGCTGGAATTGCTGAGATGTATCAATGTTCTTATTTGGATCCAAAAAGGGATTCAGTATCCCAGGCAGGATCTAACAAGTGTCAGGTACAGAACAATTGTCTCTTTCCATTGTTTTGCTGGCTCAGTTGCTGTTACTCCAGCTCCATGTGTTTGTGGCCTTCATTGCTGAGAAGGCACGCAGGCAACTAATGACATCTGTTCAGTTTGACTCAGGAATTCCATGGGAGACCACATTGAAAGTTTGTTAATATTGAATACTTCTTCTGTTTGTATATAAATTTGGAGCTCTTGACTTCCACATCAAAATTTACTCAGAAGTTCTGAAAGAGGTCTAATGACAGTGCTTAATACTGTTTTCTAACATGGAGATTCCAACCCATCCCTTTCAATCCAAACTATTCTATGATCCTATGGGGTTTTTTTTAACAGTTGTTACTAAATATGGTATTTTACATCATGAAATTTTAAAAAAATATTTAAGAGTTTTATTTTTTATTAGCTTTCAGAAGAGTTAACAGAGTAAATGTTAATTTAGGTTTTTTTCCCATGTAGTTGCCTATCTGGACACAAAATTTCTTATTCCTTTTTGTCCCTGAAAAGACCCATATTCAGTGACAGAATACTATATTGTATTTGTAGTGTTTAATTAGGAACAGAAAGAAAGCAGCTGGTGTGTGTAACATAGTAAATACAATTTAATTTTTAAATGGCTAAAATGTGACTATTGCAGCAGCTGCCATATCACAATAACTTTCTGTCTAATTCTCCCTGCATTTTTCTGGAATAGAAGTACAGTACGATTATGCTATGGTCTTTAGCTGATTTTTCTTATAAATGAAAAAAAAAAAATTGTTAGAGTGTATGTGGTAGAGATGGAAATCTATGCCATAGTGATTTTCGTGTTAAAATAAATAGGAAGACAAAAAATATGTCTTTAGAAAAGTACATTAATTACTTATCCAACTTAATCTTTTGAGGACTTTGATGCTCATATCAAATTGATAGTTTTTTATATTCACAGTAATCCATAAATTAACCAACAGCATCAGTGAACTTGAATGCATTTTCTGTTTGCTTATACCATCATAATATACATCTCTTATGCTTTCTGATTTTCCATACCACTTCCACTTATGAAGCTTTTCTTTCTTTGTTGCTCATTTCTGTGCTTGCCTGACTTGAGAGTAAAATCATGACTCAGAATGAATGATCATAGGAACACTTAGAAAATATGCAGAAATTTTGTCTTCTTTGTAGGAAAGGGTGGTTGCTTGCAGGGTAACTACTGAAACATAAATATCTGCAGAAAATTGAAGGGGTTTATAGACAACCAGAGGCAAAAATGCAGCAACAATTATATAAAAGATTCTCCTTCCATGTGGAAGGGTTTTCTTCCTTTTTCTTTCTCTTTCAAGATATGTCGCTACTTCATGTTTTAGTTTCTGTCTTTTGGGTTTCTACAAGTATGGAAGTGGTTTATGAACACAGTACTGTCAAATATTTATCTGTATGTTCTCTGTAGTGACATAAACCACTCAGGGAAGCAGGTGTCATTTTGTCAGGTGCATGACTAATATTATTTGGTTTTCTGCTAACACCTTGAGTGTATGTAGTTATACAGCAGTCTGAACGAAACAGGGACAATCTTTTTTACAGAAATTTGAAAATAAAAAGTAAGCACAGACAGTAGAAAATGTTTTTAGAAACACAGAACTTTCAATCACAGAGCAACAGATGGCATTTAGGGACATACTGCTTAAAAAGGTACTGCAGCATTTTTCTTTTTCTGTAACAGGTAGCCAATATAATTGTTTTCCTGTGCCTGCAATGTGAAGTTCATTCATATTTGAAAAGCTTTTATTTTATAAAGTGAGGCATTGTGAACATGTGATGTAAACAGCAATGTCATATTAAATGATTCACAAGCTTAGGCTCCAGATACCCAAAATAGAAATATGTTTAAATCTCACAGTGTTGCAAGGTGTAAGCTGCATAAATCTTCACTCATTTTTTCTTTCTCAATCCTGAGGGCAAGATACACTAATGAGCTAATTTAGCTTTTTATTTCAATATGGAAGATTCTAAGAACATGGGAAATTTTGCCATAAACAGATGCATTTCCAATGGGTGTAATTCTCATTTTTAAGTGGAATATTCTCCTTCCTGTCATTTAATATTCATCTTAGCAAAACATGGCTTTGCTAAAAAAGTTCAGCATGGTAATTTGCCTGTAATATATTGGAAAGATTGTTGTGCCTGGCATAAAAAGTGGCCTTTGTGCTCAGTATCCACTTGTGAATATTCTAGTTGTCACCTGAAATGTTTTCACTGCTTATTAGAAAGGCATTACAAGCAGAGTAAATTCCACATAACTTCTACTGTCAGTCTACATCCTGAGTCTGTCCTAAAAAGCTACTAGAGAAGAAATAACTTTTTATTTTCCTTCAGAAGTATCAAAGAAACAGAAATCTATGTTTAGTATTCATGCAAAGTCACTTTGGGAAAGATGCCACTGTCTTTAATTCACTCATTATTTGGTTTATAATAATTCTAAACCATATGATTTTTAAACCTATTTAATGAGATTAGGTTGATTTGGGACAGAGCAATTGCATACTTTTGAAAGGAACAAATATGTCCTGGTAGCCTTTTGCTTTAAAACCAAGCCAGCTGTGTTTTAATTATAGTATTGTTAGTTGAAATTACAGTCACCAGTGTGCTTCTGATATTCAAACTCTTGATCATAGCTTTGAAAACATGGATCAAGGAAACAGCATTGAGTCACCATGATAAAAAGGATTCTGTTGAAAAGCATAATTAGCTACATTTTGATAGACTTTTTGAAGGAAAACAAATTTATGAATATTTTTTATTTTTCCTCTTTTTATCATTTTAGAAGATTTGGTTTAAATATAAATGTTAAATCAATTCAGGACCTGTGATTAGTAGCAGTTACCAAATAGAGGATTGTAATCGGTAAACTTCTTTTTTTAAGAGAATGCACTTCATTCTTTGTATTTGGAGACCTTTCAGCTGTAGAAAAGTGGAATGGGGATAACCAGATGAAGGAGAGGTGTTGAATCTGGGTGGTTATGTTTTGGGGTGTGGTATGTTTTTTTAAGACTGTCATGGTGGACAGACAACTCTGTTTTTTACTAAGTCAGCTCTGAATTTTTTTAATTTGCAAATAGACAGTATTCATATGTGCTAAAAGACTTTTGTTGAAAGTGTTCTAATTTAGCTTCTTAAAGCTACTTTTGACAGCATATTATTTCTGATAATATTAATGAGCTACATTCAGCATCTAGAGAATTTGTTTTGAATCTGCTTGGCCACTAGACCTAATTCCACTTTTAACACTGGGATTTCAAAAGCTGAAAAGAAAGGCCTGAACTAGAATGTTTCTCTCTGTACTTGGTGTTGGGAGGCTATACCTCGAGTACTGTGTCTCTTCTGGGCCAATTATCTCTTACAAGAGGGAGATAATGCCCATGTAAAGAAAAGTAAAGAAGATACATTTGCCAGATATGGTTTTGGGTAATACTTGAGCTGAATGCCGTCCCTGATGCTTTAAGTCTTCTCTGTAAGACAAGTATGGAAATCAAAGGCTATTCAATATCACTTAGTGCCCTTCCTAAAGGAGTGTGTGTTTGTTAGAACTTTCTTTTGACTTTCTTTTTCTTCTGCCTTATTAGCAATTTGTTTAACAATTTATTGCCTTTTTTTTGTTCTTCTTCTTCTGATGAACCAGGACTGGGAATTTTCTTGCTTTCTTTTTTTTTTTAATATATTTCTGATATATTTTCCAAAACCATTAAAATACAATTAAGAAGGCAGCGTAATTCTTTTAATCACCTAATTCTGTTTTTCCTGTCCTCTCCTAAACTGACTTTTTGAAACAGATCTTTGCATCGTGTCTAAAAAAGGCAATGCCATGTGGCAAATCAATTAAAAGTAATTGGAGGAATGTAATAGATTAATGTTCATAAGTTGGTTATTGTAAGCCTGTGAGTCTATTACTGGCCTCAGGATAATAAGAATAGAGTCACAAATCATAAGAAGACCAAATCATAAGAATAGTTTGAGATGGCAAAAACAGTAAAGACTTTGTTGAGTGTTAGAGGTACATTCCTAAAGAAACAGTTATGTTTAGAAAGGATTAAGTGAAGAGAATAAAGGGCTGGAAAAAAATTAAAAGTTGGTTTGATGTTTGTTTAACTTACCACTCAAAAACTTCTTATGTAGGTTGCTGCTTTGGGACTGCGATGATCGGAGCTACAGCTACTACATTGAGGTTTCAACAAATCAGCAGCAGTGGACCATGGTGGTGGATCGCACAAAAATTTCCTGCAAGTGAGTTTAGTTTTTTCCATTCATTGGCACAAATTAAGAACTGCAAGCCACAGTTTTTGGTGGGTTTTTTTTTTGTTCACTACTTACATAGGTTACTGTGAAAAGAATGGTCGTTGCATAACCTATACATTAATGCAAGATTTTCAGAATCAATTTCCTAAGATTGGTACTGGATCTTCAGACAATCAGTTGGATTCTTTGTTCATTAAAAGTCTGCCTACTACACCCTTCATTTTGTGATCACTAGAAGTTAAACTGCATTTTTCTGGAGGTCACATGTTTATGGTGACCCTGGATGTCAAACCACCCTGCCTTGAGAAATGTGGTAGGAGAGGGAAGAGAGCATACGTGATAAAGGATGTGGCTACTCAAATGTCTTTCTCCCTTATCAAAACTCATAAATGTATTGTATGACATCCGAAGAGAGTGAGGAGAGTGAGGGTAGGGACCAAATCATAAGAGACACACAGTTGCCAAAGCTTGATCTTGTCTCTGTTCGAAAGTGGAGTACTTGACTTATGCAACAAACACTCTGCTTTTGAAAAGCATCCTTCCATAGAAAAAGAGTGCTCCTTAAGCAGAGATAAAGAAGAGAGAAAAACTTCCATTTTCATTTGAATACTTAAATCAGGAGAAATCAGGCATGAATACTCTCCAACTGTATACTCTCCATTGACTTTACTACAGTTTTTGCTGATAAAATATTCCTCAAGTATGGAAGAATAATTTGGTCCTGAGAGCCTTCTTAAGCCCTGTGATGATGATTCTAATTCCTAACAAAGAATGATCTATATACTGGTCATGGGACTGAACAGACAGCCTGCAAATTTATATATTACGTATCCAGAAGCCAGGTATGCTCAGCATTCAACAAGTGTTGATGCAATGTGATTCCCTGATTAAAACCCGGGGAAGTTCAGAATTATAAAAATCTTCCATCTTTTATTTTCCCTGAGTCAGTTTTCCATAAGATGTGCTTTCTTTCTTTGGCAAAATTCAAGTCATAGCTTATATGGGGCCAGCCCCCACCCATCTTGTATTTGTGCCAATTGAAACAAAATTGATTTTACAAATTCAGAGGCATTCTGAATGCTCAGTTCATCACATCAAGCAAGAGAGTTATTCAGTCCTTTGTAGCAGCACTGCTGACACACATTTTTCTAAAGTTTATATTTCATCTCTTAACAAACAGTGTGACTCAAATACTTTACAATGCACTCTAGATGTGTTGGTGAAGGAGAACTTGACACGTCCTTTCAGTGCCTGCAAAGGGCAGGGTATTGATGAGCAGAAAACCTGGGTTCTGCCTGCAGGTCTGGAGAACGATTAAATCTTCACTCGTTCTCAAAGACATCTCAGCATAATAGATAAAACTCATCTTTTTGTCTGCCTCCAGCAGTGGGAGCACTAAAAGGCTGAAACCACAAAAGGGAGAGAAAGAGATATCAGGAATCTTTGTGCACTTTTTCCTTTTACATTTTGATATTGAAAGCCTTTTAACAGTCCAAAGGAGCACTTGCTTAAGTATGCACAGTGCTGGTGAAATTGCTGATAGACTGCCCAGTTCAAATATCTTTTCACCATGCTCAAACCATGCTTTTTTGCTTTTTTTGTTATTTTCAAAGCCTTAGCCTTAAGGAAATAAAGGTACATCCCTAAAGTAAAGATAGCTGCCTTCTTTGGGTGTACTTCAAATCTTGATTCAAAACATAGATACTCTGGAAATTCTCAAAGCTGTGGCTGCAGGAACAATTTTCATGTGGATTAAAGAATTGCATTTTGCCTAAGTTCTTGCTCTGACAGATGTGCAGTCAGCTGCCATAATGCCAGTCTTTATTCTTAATGTCTGCAGACCTGGAGTGTCCTAGCACTGTCTGTATCTGCCTAAACAGATAAAAAGACCTGGTCATGAAACTAGCAGAGTTCACTGGCCATCAAATTTCAGGTGATTTCTTCGCATCTGATAGCAGTTTTTATGTTCAATTTATATCTCTTGCCTTTATGATCAGAAATATAGACTAGGGTTTTTTCAGTCAAAGAAAACTAAATATGTTTCATTTTATTTTCAGGTATGATTTGCAGAAATGCTGAAGTTACTTCAGCTCAAAAATTACTTACATTGTAATGGCAGTTTGATAACCTAGTATATGTATCATATAAATATATGCAGTAATATCTATAGTATCAATATTTTTTTCGCTAGTAAATATGTTAAATATATAAAATGCTATATAACTGCCAAATGCCACAAATGTTAGGACTGGTCTGTAAAGATCAGGGCCTTGTAATTTCATACAGTGTGTAATTACATACAGTACTGGCACACTATTTCTTTTTTTTCTGAAAAATACTGAAACATGGTATGAGCTAAAAAAGCCATATTCTTAGTGTTTAAAAACAGTGGAAAGTAGAATTAGAAGAGACATCATCATTCAATGGCTCATGTGTTGAATGAAGGCCCTCACTTAAAATTGCTGGGTAAACTTTCAATGTGGTGGTAGAGAGTTCTCAATGAAGAGGGAAAAATGGAACCAGTTGCTGCCAGGAATATGTGAAGAACTGTTTTTTGGGTTAGTTTCTGTTATTAAAAAAAAAAAAGAAAGAAAAAAAGCTCAGATTGAAACCTGGGGGTGGTTGCCATGAAAACAAACAACTTGTTTTCACTTCAGATATTTTTAACTGTGACAACAAATAGGGAAGATAGATTTGGATGTTAACCAAAATTAACAGATGCTGGTAAAGCAGAGGTGGTACAGTTTTTCTGGTTTACTGTCATAGTGTAACGATGAAGATACTCCTAGTGGATGCAAAGGATTTCTTTTTTATCTGTCTGTCCTTCCTCTTAGCATTACATTGATAGTTTTAGTCTGCCTCTGAATGCCTTCTGTTGCTGATTTACAGGCTCCCCAAGGAAAAGGAACCGTCAAACTGAAGCACTGTGCTTGGGTTTGGCTCACCATCAGGTTTAGGCAGACAGTTGCAATGCCTGCATTTGGCAGTTTTTGTTAACCAGACTAGAGCATACAGGGACAGAAACAACAGTACTCTCATCTCTTTGTTCCCTGCATGGTTTTGAATGCTGTGCTCCTCTCTCACTTGGGTGAAACAAAACAAATCTTTTGCTAATGTGGTCCAATTTTGCAGCTATTTTTTATCTCAACCAAATCTTCTTTTTTTTTTAAATGAATATTTGACATTGCAGTCTGAAATTAACTAATCCTGTGTTGGTATAAAAATGGTCTTCGTTGAGACCTGTGTCTTTTTTTAAGGAAAATAAGAAGTAAGTGTGTCCTTCCATGGGACTGTGGTTGCCCACTTGACTGCAATATACATAATGGAGATGGGAGTGCAATGTAAGTGATTGATAAGGTCTTGAAATCCTGAGGTTATCCTTTCTGGCATTAGTTCTGTGTTTAATGTATTGCTGTAGTCTGAAGAAAAATTGCTCACTTGCTTTCTGAAGAAAAATTGCTCACTTGCTTTCCAATGTAGAAAATCAAAGTGGATGTTGTGGAAACATGGGAGAATTTCACAGGGGCCCAGATTTGAAAAGACAGAATACTTCAGTGAGAAAATTTGCATTGCTAGTAATATTTCCTATTCATTTTCCTGGCTTCAGGGATCTGTGGGTAAGAGTTCTTTCTGTGGATCAGACTTCTTGTCTTCACTGTTTACTGCCTGGCTTTATGGCTACCTGTAGTTGCAGTGGAGTTAGACTTTTGTGGAGGTCATTAACCTGCTGTCTTGCAAGTGTTCTGCGAGGTCTCTAAATAATTTTTGCTCAGTTGCTAGTACAAAGAGGAGGATGAACTGTCTGCCAAACACAGACCTCGACAGGCACCTTTGATAATTGGGAAGTGGAAGAAAAAACTATGAGAAAAAATTAAATTATGTTTAAAGAGCGTGTATTGGTTTTGGCAGACTACTGAAGCATGAACATCCCCTTTAAACTATCAGTGTGCTGCTTTGGATTGTTTTAATGGCATTTTTAATGTAGTATTTTGTGTAAATTAATAATCCAGTGCTCAAAGGCAGGAAGTGACAGGCTACTCCTAACCTTTTCTTCTCCCAGTTTTAAAAGGCTGAAGAAAAAACTGAATGTCTGTTATCTTCACAGGGGAAGCTTGTGTACCTTCCCTAAGTGAGAGCCAATTTATGCATACTGGTTGTGTAATTGACAATTTTCACATGCTCTGTGGAGGCTGTTTTTTTTTCCTTTCCACAATAAGCTGTTTCTCTCTACACAGTATGACAGTAATGAAAAACAGTCATGTTCCCTTCTATTTTTAAAAACATTTATGATAAGTGGACTTGAGCGTGTTAGTGTTGAACAATAGAGACTTGCACTTGTTAGGAGAATTTGCTGACAGAGTCTGAAAGTCAAATGAAAAACAAAAGATACCAAAGGCCAGTAGGAGAACCAGACCTCAGAGTTAATGACACTTCTGATAAAATAAACCCTGCAAACACAAATACTAAGCAGGCTATCACGGTACTCATCAGCTCAGTATCGTTCTTCAAAGTTCTCTTCTTTGTAGTTATTGTGAAATGGATCTAATCCCTTGGCAGGAGGCATAGTATGTTCTAACTAATACTGTAATGGAATTTGAGAGACAATGAATATTGGTTTTGGATGGACAGTTCTAAAGCAGTTTGTATCAACTGTTTGTATGGCTGGTTGAGATTTTCTCATGGCAGGCATTACTTGATTTCCAGGAGGCTTATAACATACTGCATTAGACATGTATTTTTACTTCTTTGCTATTCAGAATGTTCTGCTGTTATAAATGTGTAAAAGCTTCCAAACTTAATTTCACATTTCCATTGCTTATTGAGTTTTTATTGTATAATAGCTATTTCAATTCTTAATTCAGTTCCCCCTCAATTTTTTTTTCTGTAGTTCATGTATAAATCTAATTAATACTTTCACATGAAACAGCCTTTGGAGTGTGGATGCAAGAATCATTATCAAAATTTAGTAACTGTCTTCTGATTATTTT